GGTTGCCCTTGTCACTGAAGTTAGTTTTGTTCCATTATTCGAAGCGCTTGTGAATTCAAGGGAACCATCTTTAATCGTGGTGTCGATTTCCTTGATGCCTGTCATGCGGGGGGAGTTTGAACGGGATCACTACTACACTCAAGGCTGCTCGACCCTTTATTTTTCATCTTAGTTATTCTGTGCTCCGTGTTGAACAAAACATAAGGTAAAAGCAGTTTTTTTACATTCTTTATCTAGAAAACAAAGCATGTCTTGTGACTCTTAGAGACGTAGTCCCAAAACGCCCATGAATGTGATTAAACAAAAAGAAAACAGGTGAAAGGTTTAGAGGGAAACAACCAAACATTTTCTGTAATTTTTGAGAATTCTAGTGTAAACACCACCTTTAGATGACTAGTGGCGTTTAAGCGGCGTTCAAGCAACGCTGCACGTACACAGGGAAACAAAATTTTAGCAACCTCGTTTATGTGTGAGCCTCATAACCAGTCAACGAAGTTAATTTTTCATCAGAAGAAAACTCCACTGCGGAGTCATAAAACCGTTGTACGCAAACTGTGAGGATATCTTTTCCCTTATTTTGATCGGAACTATCGTGAACTCTGTTAGCTGTAACATGCCGGCGGCGGCCGACCCGTACCTCCACGCCGCACAGCAGTCGACGTCCAAAACTCCGCTCATGCGCTGCGGGGCGGACTCGCTCTTCCCGCCTGCAAGCACACCCTCGCTTTTGTCGTCTGCCAGGCTTAGAGCAAACGACGCCACAGCGTTTGCCATTGTTCGCTGAACACGGTTTGGTGTCCACTGAACCGCCGTGTAAGAGGCGCCCACGGTTTTATGGGCGCCTCTTACGCGGTGGATGATTCCATGACTCACGGAAATACCTTCTCCGGGCTGAGGATAATCATCGCCACAAATTGTACATATAATGGTAGATAAATTTGTTTGCTTTTGTACCTCGGACAAACTTGTAGTCAGCGGTTTATTTCTGTATTGCAACTGCTGCGCTCCTGCTGGTCCGCGAACACGTATTGCTAAAGCATGCGTTGCACACGTCTATTTCTAAGTAAACAAAACATAAATAGAGAACACGTACACATGGTTTAAGCCACAATAACCCTGAAATCTGCCCCAATAAAGATCGCCTATGTAGAATGAGTTTAAGACCTCTTCGCTATGTCGAGGGTACCAGAGGAGCAGAGACGGCTGTTAGTCAATCAGTGTCTGAAAGAGGCGCCCACGGAATCGTGTTCAGCGAAGATTTGCAAGCGGTGAGGCGTCGTCTGCTCTGCTCCTAGCAGACGACAATGCAAAGGTGTGCTCGGAGGCATAAAGAGCGAGTCCCCCAAACGGCGCATGCGCGGAATTGCTGACGGTGCATGCTGTGCAGCGATGGGGCTACGGGCGGCCGCCGCTTGTCTGTTACAGCTAACAGAGTTCAGGATCATAATGCATGTTACAAAAAGCATTGTGTTAAGTAGGCGCGTGGAATTGTATTAAATTCCGCGTTCTTAACGTGCTATTTTGTTTTGGTATACACATTGAACGCCCAATCTTTCTGAGGACTGGATATTATGCGGAAAGCGTAATGCACCCATAGAACTAGAAAATACCTTACAGGCTGACAAGGACAGCGTAAAGAATGCACATGTTCAGAGCAGACGATGCAAAAGCGTATAGAATCATGCAATATCATAATTATATCATAAGTTATATTAATTACGGAGGCATGGTGGTGAAGGGGAAAGCAAGTCAATACTATAATATTACGATAGTAAGAGCCTGCGGCAGTAGGGGTTCGAATTCAGTCAAGCTGAGAGCGGCAGAGTTCTGGGATGCTGCTCAGGCGTGGTATTAAAGCTGGCGCGTGACCAAAACATTTAACATTTTCGATCTTTTTGCAAGGTCACAATCAGACAAAAACTTGGTGAGGAAATCTCAGCCACGAACCAATAGCAATAAAGGTTTTGATGTTAATGCAATTAATGCTATGATTCAGCGAGCAGTCTAACTTGGTGAGGAAATCTCAGCCACGAACCAATAGCAATAAAGGTTTTGGTGTTAATGCAATTAATGCTATGATTCAGCGAGCAGGACAAGAATAACGATAAGGATCCCTGGGGAAGGAGAACAAGTGGGACAAAAGACAAGCACAAATCTCTAAACATGGCTAAGAAACTGGTGCGCTACTGAAAAAATCCGCTTGGCCTTGGTATTCAACCAAGGACCTCTTCATTTGCAGTAGAATGTTCTATCAACTAAGCAATCTAGGTGTTATGTTTTCTTATTGCATAGGTTAGGCAACAAGGGGAACAAACTAAAAGCGTTCTTTCTTGTTTTGTTCTTAAAACAAGAGCTTCTTGTTGAGCTAAAAGGATTTAGATGTCAATCGAGCAAGCACCAGTCTTAAGCCAACAAGGGTGAACGAATCGGAAGCGCTTGTGCTTAATGTTTCTTCATTCGCTGGTCATTGGCAGCTGGTGCACAGCAAAACACTACTTAAGAATTGCCAGAGAAACGTGGATTGTTAATGGTAGCAAACATAAAATAGAAGACGATCTCAAATTCACCCTGCGCTTTATCTCATTTTGCTGCGGTGGTGGATTTACAGCAGGCGGCAACTTTTTGTTCCGATTTGTTAGTAGGCGACGTGCGGGATTTTCTTGTCTTAGTTTCGACTGCGAATTACAATTCTTAGCAGACGAACCGCATTCTTCGCTCATGTTCGGAGAAGAACCGTCTACAAATGCTATATTCGCTCATTCCGCGAAGGTCGAACTACATCTCTTTTTCGATTTAGTGGTGACCAAAACGGGACCCATGGTGACCTTCAGCGCTTGCAGCTGGTTTTCTAATGAGGATGGGTGGCACTCCAAGTAAACGTAACCTCGTGACATTATGGACTGCATCGTAACGCAACAATAGCTAGCGCGGCAGATGTATAAAGTCCCTACTTCGCACGACAGCCATCAGCTGGTGAAACGGGCGGAATAAAGCTCCTCCCCTTTCAATAAAGATTTACATGACATAGTCGACGTCACCTCAAGCAGCGTGACACACCTACCCCATCAGGCAAAGTATTTCAAAATATCCAAAGCTCTACAAAACAAAAAAGTAACAAAATATAATGCACGCATAATGCTCGCACAACACCTCTTGCGCCCCCAGAGGGGTTACTGCACTCACTACGACAAGTTTTTTTTTTTTTTCAGCGTCCTTTGACCTAAAATAATTTGCCCCAGCTTTATTAGGCACACGAGCCAAGGCTGCCGCTGCTCCTTTTTTCCTGCTCGCTTACTTTGCCCGTTCATTATACTCAGAGTTTGTCCCTTTCAAGAGTGTCAAAGAGGTAATATCCCATGCTCCAATAGGAAGTGGACGTAAACCTTGCGTTGCGGAAGCAGGAATCATATGCTGAAATTGGTGCCTTTTCCCAATTGATCATGGCCAAAGGGGCCCCAACCTGTATTCGTGTAATTATCACAATGCGGGCTTGATCCGCAATAGCAAATGATCTTCTGAGAAGCGGAAACAGTTTGTGTAATTTCAGTCAGTGATTCAGCTGAGAAAACACACTCTTTCCTCCTATCTGGCAACCGCTTGCTCGATCTCCGAGAGTCGCGCTTCCTATACTACCAGATAGTTTGTCTTATAGCTTTGTTTCGGATCTCCACTTACCGGAAATCAAAATGAGGAATAGACCAGCTCCCGCTGCTGCAATGAGGAACATGACGATGGCCGCTTCAATAATTCTTTTATAGGTCCTGTCACAAGAAAAACAAAATAATTTGTAAAGCTCGTTTATCTTGACACTGACCGTGATACCCGAAATGTGTATGCCGGTCGCCTACTAACACATCACAAAAATATATGCCACGTGATGGCAATCACATGAAGTGGTCCCGTCACGTGACATAAATTTTCCCCCTAAATGTATGTTTAAGTGGACTTTCGTTACATCACTTACCTACTACATTTAGCGTAAAAACGAACGTCAGGTGACTTGAGGTCCGAAGACCTGAAATCTTCTGGCTTCGATAGCCCTCGATAGCCTCGTATGTTTCCCTAATAAAGGGTCTTCGCCAATATCATTCAAATGTTCGCCGCGATGGACGTCCATCACTACAGCTAGTTAGACCTTGTCCCATAGAGCAGTGCTATTGACAACCCATCTGCTGATGAGGCATACTACTGCTGGCTTGATGTCATGGACGTCATAGCAAAAGAATTTTTTCCACCCAAGCTAACAAGGACACAATATGCACATCCATGAATCTCCCCTGACATTTCGGTTCCCTAAAAAGCGCTCTCTTTCGCGAAGCCCAGAGAGCAAAAGGTCCACAAAAGGCTTCCATGCTTACCCTGTCGAGAAAAACAGGTGCAAAAATCCTCAAATCTATAATATACACCTGTCAGAGTGTACAGCTGGAAACTGTTACTGAAAAAGCGATCGCCTTCCCAAAGTCATTATGGACCCGTGTAATACACCAAAGAAAGGCCAGCTCCCTTTCCGAGTTCGCGGAGAACGGTCACCATATCAGTGCTTCCCAGGCGCTCCCAAATTTTTTTTGTAGCCCCGCTTCCTCTCTGTGCGCAGCATCCAACCCTGTTCTCTCCAGTCCTTTCCCTCCTGACTCCGAATCTAACACTGAGATCATGATAACCCTAACTGTCATACCTGGTGATATTGCTGAGGCCATCAAGTTGCATTAATGCAAACCAGTGACGAAGACCAGACTCTGCCCATCTCATGCTGCTTTATGTTGGTGAAACAAGATTGGCTCCAGTTATGACTGTCATGTTTGGTAACTTCATTGCCGCTGGTTTATTTCCGTGGCACTGGGCAATTGCCCTTGCTGCCCCTGTACACAAAGGTCATGGCGTAACTACGTCATCTGTGACGCCGGACAATCCTATATATTACATATCTAGTATATGCAGTACTATAGAGCGTATGCTCAGCAGACGTGTCATGGAGCATTTTGAGTTAAAGAGTTTCTTACCCTTCTCCAGTACGGTTTGGAAGGTGTGGACTAAAACTTTAATATTTTTAAATTGTTGTTGCCCACATTTTGCAATTAGTTTGACAACTTGGTTTCCAGTGAACTCGTCTAACTTTAATAGGGTGAGCCATGACGTTCCCCTTTGCAAGCTGCGGAACCTTAACATAAGGGGCCAGTGCCATGTTTTCACATATAAAACTGCGCAGCTATGACGTTCACTACCAAACACCTAGCGGCCAGCGACCTGGAAAACAACGTCCTCATTGCATTTCATACTTTACTACTGTAAGCGCGTAGGGCTGTGATTCTGTTGTGTTTGTGTGTTCATTGCCCATCACGACAGCTTTCTTTAGCTGGGTTTAGTAGGCCTTCTGGCATGGTTCTCTGGGCCTCCTTCTACACCCTAACACTCCTGGGTTGAAAAAAAAAATCAAGAACATCGAGAGTTGGTCACGTGACTGCAATTTCCTCTTACAAGGCTCAGTGGTAAAATTGACACGTGAAATTATTTTCTCGCCGAACTTACTGGGGAAATTCACGTCCGATTTCTTCATGCCGATACTTTGTGACGATTTTTCGTGACGGCTTAATCATAAAAATTGGCTGCCAAAACGTATTACCTATTAAAAATGCCGATCGTTAAGTTCCTCTGTTATTTGGTTTCTTTTCCTAGCACAGAGAGGAAATCACGTTACGTAGGAAATATCAATGTAAGAGCGTTCGAACAAGCAAGCTCGAAGTTTTAATCAGGAGCCAGTACAGATCGCTCCTTGCAGACTCTGACGAAAGCACCGAGAAAAAAAAAAAAAAGAAGCAAACATTGGTCCGCTTAATATGAAAGACAAAGAAGCACTTTGAAAGTATTTCTAAAATGTAATCCAGCGGAGATTTCGTGTCCGCACCGGTTTTGCTTCAATTTTTTTAAGACACCGTTGCGTACCAGCCTTAAATAAATTACTTAGAGAAAGGTAGATGTGAAAAATTCGGGTGAAAAGTACGAAGCGCGCTTCCAAGCCCGAGCTTGGGAGAGGGAGAAAGGCAGACGTTACTAATGTTACGGCGTCAGCGACGAACTGTATACCGATTGCCCATTAATTGTTTTTTGAAACAGTTAGCGGAATACGGAACCTAGCCAGTTATCCGCGAGATGCCGGTGCGCTCGCGATTCCAGCAGTGGAAGATGATTTTTCATCTTGGGAGGAGGGTTGGTTCCGTGGCCAATTTAGTGCGGGCAATAAGGTAAAACAGAGAGCTATTGTCCCGTAACGCGCGGCCAATACTGTGACCGCTTTTTTTTCTATTTTAATAGAACTTACGCAAGTAGCTATTTAATAGAAATCAATCACGATGTTTTAAAGGAGGAACGGAGTTAAATAATTATACCGCCGTTGAAATTAAAATGAAAATCAAAAGGAAGAAATTCTAAAAACTGGAAAAGTAGTCAGATGTATTTCAATATATGAGCAACGCAAGACGACAGTCTATGAACGAAATGCCAATACGAACGCTGACGGTCGCAAATTGTTGACGATTACTACTAGACGGCGTTGACGCCTTCAAGCGGCAACGCTCGCACAACAGCACCCTTGGACACGAGTGAACTATATAGTCGTCACGAGCGTGATATGTAATCCGCTTCTCGCTGGCCGACTTTGAAACAATGGGTAAAGAGCTCGAACCACGCCACTGCGTTTTGGTACCCCTTTAACAGCCCTGCTTGATGGGTGAATGAAACGTTTAACGACCAATTCTCCAGGTGATCGAAAAAAGTACAAAGAAGCGCGAGATCTGCTGAAATCTTTGAATATTTTTGTTAACCAACCTACCTTCTACAAGACCATAATTAAATGGCCCCTCCGTTCGAAAGTAAAACCATAATGAATGACTGGTATCACTTTAGTGGCACGAAATATGACCACAGCCGAAATATTAGGCCAACTTGAAGCCGCGTACTCTACTAAAATTGACTTCAAAGGCCGACGATCACACACGAGATTCTGCAAGGCAGAAGATCCTCCTCACCTTGGGGAAGGATGAATTAGGCAATGGTGGACAGGGTAGAATATGGGAGAGGAGGGATCGAGGGAAAAGTGGAAAGCGCGAACTGGTCGTCGGCCTTCAGAAATGAGACCATCTGCTCTTTAGGAGGTGGAAAGCGGGTTTGCTTTTAGTCCAGGATTACTGGTGCAACACCCCTGTGACGTCACGTCGCAGTGAAGTGGCGGTTGATTCGTTCTGTCGCGTAAAGCCACACCACGATGACGTCACGTAGCGGCCGCGTGGCTTATGATTACAGTTGCCATCCCAGAAAATTATGGTTTTGGGTTTGCCGTCGACGCCCGAAACCAAACTTTGTGCCTATATATATATATATACCTTGAAGTTCAGGGATACTGCCTTAGCCGAAAACATTCGTAATACCACATCCAAAAATATTGACCGGAGTCGCCCTTCAGATTGTACAGCCGAAGGCCCTTGTTAAATGTTAAACTTTTCTGTCCGTGCAGCATTAATGCTTTCTAGCACTGGTTACATAAGCAAGCTGGACAGGCTTGCAAAGACGGAGCGGCCGGATGTCGCCTGGGGAACAAGCGGCAGTTTATGTTTGTAAACAGTAAGAGGGTCTATAGTCCTGGAATCATTCGCTCAGGGGCACTTTCCACGTCTTTCTTCATCAGTCACTAGAGGGCCGCCATTATTACGGCAGAATCCATTCCTATGACGATGATAGGTACAAAGTGGGCAGAGTGAATTTCGGAAAGGGACTTTAACGATTTAGCTTGCCGGAATGCCCTGCCAGCGGTATCGATACTCTAAGGACAGCAATAAGGACAGGATTGACAAGGGTTTCCATAGCAGTTATATTTCATTTTTTTAAAATAATGTTTGCACTTGCACGTCTGTCGCGCATAGCGACGGCACCATACGGATAAACACGCAAATGTTTTGTCCTGAGAACTGCTCAAAAAGCAATCATCAAGGCAAAACATCCCTCCCGCTTGTTGCTTCCCCGACGGAGGGCGGCTAAGCTTGTTTTATTTTAAATAAATATAAAATATTTTATTATTTTGTTTATTAAAGGCTATGAATGACCTTACCAGTTCTTTGTTTTTGTTTTTCCTTTCACTTCCTCTTTAATAAAAGAACTCATCGCGTCGCCGTTCTCGCTGGATCCAAAATCTCCTCACAAAAAAAAAAAAAAAAAAAAAAAAAAAAAAACGTGACAGTTAGAAGGGACGCGCGGTGCGCACGGGGTGGTTTTGTATGTCGTTCTGGTGCTCTTAGTAATCTGGTTGTTTGCTGAGTTTTTGCTCCCCATACAAAATTGAAACTGTTAAAAAAGTTATTTGAATATTAATACTTACCCTTGCCATTCCGTCTACAATGCCAAGTCAGGCACAATGTTTTTCGAAATACGTAGCCAAGTAGTTTTAAATACCAATGATGGACGCTAAGCCTCAGTTTTCGGATTTTTTGTTGTTTTTGTTTTCAATGAAAGATTATTGAAAATATGATATCACAGTATCGAATGTTTCTGATTTATTTGAAGGAGGTCTAAAGTAGTTTCATGTCGCTATAGTTACGGTCAGATCACGTAAAATATTTTCAGTACGACGATATATCGCAATATATATTTCTATTATGTATGGAGTACGTACCCGTAACGCGACACTTAACTCATTACAACGTGCGGCGAGCACTCGGCTCTATTTCAAAATTTTCTATTTTAAGATATGTTGCTTTATGCATGCTTATGTGTGGGTGATATAAAACGAAGTAAGCGCTTGAACACACCTTACTTTACATCTTAATTTTTGAATTCTTTGACGCTCTTTGTTATTGCTTGAAGACTTGTGACAATTTTTATTGTTATCCCAGTAAACCGCGAAATTTATTAACCCTCTATAGTCGGTTGCAAGCTAAGAAAAAACCGGAAATGCCTCTCAGAAGAAAATGTAATCCTACGCCGAGAAGCGCCAGCCAATCGTTTTCATGACGTCACAATTCCGTGCACCAATCGCGATCCTTTTGAAAAAAAAAAAAAAAAAAAAGCTCAACATGGCTGCTGGCCTTAGCAACGCGACGCTAGTTTCTCGTGACAATTATTCTGCTTTTTTGCACCGTGTTTTACGTGCCCGAGGTTACGCCACGAAATCTTAATGGTATCGGCTTGCGTTTGCAGCAGTTTTTGCGCGACAACGTGAGAATCCAGCGACGCTACCGCCAACGAAAATTTCGAAGCGGGCGCGAGGCTTAGCACTGCTGAGAGGTGAGAAGACGGTATGTTAGACAGTATCTTGGACAGAAAATGAATTGGGAAAACGGTACATTGGACATTACTTTCTTTCTTTACTAAACAGCTATTTCGTTGACAAAAACGTATCCTAACATATTTAAATGTCCTGAATGAATTAAATAAATATTGTAGTAGTTTAAGACACGTTTCCTGAAGGAAGAAAAAGCAACGTTGCTAGCGAACTACTTTCTCGACGGCGGACGCACTTCAGATGGGCGCATTGCGCTTGTGGGTGGAGCTAAAAGATTGTTCTCAGGTTGCATCCGACTATAGTTATTTCTCAGAGAATATGGAGCACGTGAAAAGATAACTGCATGCATCATATAAATATTTATTAGCTAAGTGTGACAAGCGGTAGGTCAGTAGGTGGCTATCATGTTTCTTTATGTTTTATCTGTGCAGTGTTTAATGCAACACCTTTAATGTAATTATAATAACATTGAAATTGAATGCAGTGTTTTGGCCTTTTCCGCCAATCTTTTATGACAGAGTGTACTAACTGGGTAGCCTGTTGAAACAGATTCAATTTCCAGGTTCCGCCTTAACTTCAAGATTACAATAGGATTAACGATGATGATTGACCTCCTGGACAAGTCTGCGAAGAGTGCCACCCTGCTTAACCAAGCTGGTGGAAAACGCGACCCTGCTCAGTCAGGCTCAGCACATTTCATAAGCCGATACAACACTGATCATCAAATAGTAGTTTTCTGTGGGTGCCTGCACTCACATCCAGTTTAATGAAAGTAGCACAAAAGGACAACTATTGCATATCGTATTGCGTGCACGTTCCATGCGTGCGAAGAAATGAGAAGCGAACCTACATGAACCCAGATAATCTCGAGCCACTGACTTTCAGGTCAAATTCTAGG